AAGGAGCTCTGGTGGTGCAGTGCCTAAGGCATTTGACTGCTAACCAGAAGGTTGATGGTTCAAACCCACCAGCCGCGCCCAGGAAGGAAGATGGGACAATCTACTTCCATAAAGATTTACCACCTTGGAAACCCAATGGGTGTTACTATGAGTCAGAATTGACTTGATGGCAGTGGGTTTATGGTGTATACACCCAGCTGCTAACTAAAAGATTGAGTCTACCCAGAGGTGCCTCAGAAGGAAAGCCTGGCGACTTACTTCTGGAAGATCACAGCCATTGAAAACCCTAAGGAGCGCAGCTCTACTCTCATACACATGGGCTCACCATGCATCAGAGTCTACTCGTTGGCAACTGGTTTGGGTTCCTCTTTTCCGGGGGCAGCCCTCATGAATCTCCCCTGCCCAGCTTCCCTCAGAACTACATATGAAAAAGGCCTCCACCCCAGCCAAGCTCCCAGAAGTAAAGATATTCCTTTTGGGATGTTTTGCCTTTAAACACTTCCTTTGTATTTAGAAACAAATGGTAATTACATTTTTTCCTGGCACTCCAGATGGTGAGACTCATCCCACTACAGCACCACTTGATCACACGCCTCTTCGCCTCTTCCTCTTTGTTTTGAGCTGTGGGGAACTGCTGTCAAGCAGGAATTCTCCCTTGGGAGCCACTGAACTGCTGGGTGTCGGCCCCTTGCTGCCACCTGGCGGCGTCCTGCACCTCTGCGCCCTCCCCGCTCTGCCCCACCAGTGGCCAACAAGGACATAGAAACCCAGGCATCACAGCTCAACAGAGCTGAAAGATCAGGAAACCCTCAGGCCCATCTGCTCGCCTTAGAAATGAGAAAACCACAGCTCAGGCTGGGGACATGGCTTGCTAAGGTCACCCGCCTTAGGCTGGGATCCCTCAGAAGCCTACCTTAAGGTTTGAGTGCAAGTAGCTTATTAGGGCAGTGTAGAGAGCTGATTGGTGGCCCTCCAGAAAAGATATGTCCACATCCAACCCCTGGAACCTATGAAAGTAGCTTTAGTTTGAAAAAACAGTCTTCACAAATGTGATTAAGTTGAGGACTGGGTGATGAGATCATCCTGGGTTACCTAGGTGAGCCCTGAATCCAATGACGAGTGTCCTAATAAGAGAGGAGAGGAGAAAACACAGAGACGAGGAAAAGGAGATGTAGAGACAGAGGCAGAGAATGGAATGATGCATCTGCAAGCCAAGGAATGCAGAGTGTTGTCATTCCCACAAGAAGCTAGAAGAGGCAAGGGAAAGATTCTCTGCTAAGCCTTCAGAGGGGCCCCGCTGACATCTTGATTTCAGAGTTCTAACCTCTAATGCTGTAAGAGAATAAATTTCTGTTGTATTATGGCACTGTATTTGGGGTAATTTGTTACAGCATCCCTGGGGAAGTAATACAAGCACTGAACCCAGCAAGTATCAGCAGAGGATGGGAAAAATGAGGCTGGGAAGAGAAGGTAGCCAAGATAGTGTGTTCATGAGTAGGTTATTGCAATGGACAATTGAGGTTTGACCCCACCAGAGACCTCTAGGAGGCTGTATAGGATACACCTCAGAGTTGTCCTAGATACAGAGACTGGGGCATACATACCCACTGATGTAGTGCCTAAGACATTTAACTGCTAACCAGAAGGCTGGTAGTTCAAAGCCACCAGCCACTCCTCAGAAGGAAGATCAGGCAATCTGCTTCCGTAGGGATACTGCCTCAGAAACCCAAGGAGGGGTCACTAGGAGTCTAATCAACTCAACGGCAGTGAGGGTTTGTTTTTTTTTTTTTTTTGTTTGTTTGTTTTTTTAAGCTTCCTTCAGTCATTGCTGAGAACTTCTGGCTGTGTGAACTCCCCGCACCTCCACCCTTTCCTGGGCTTGGACTGAGCACCTTCTGAGGCAATCAGGAGCCAAATGGCCTGGCCTGGAATGGTGAGTGCTGAAAGCACATGGGCGGGGCATCAGTGACATCTGCCTTAGTCCCAAAGTGAGCTGAAGGCAAGACCAAGCCTTCTTTCATTAGTAACAGACACTTTTGAGCTGTTACCATGTGCCAGGCACTATTGGAGAGGCTCTTTCCCTAAAAGTGAGAGTGACAGACAATGTCCTCCACTCTTGGAGTTTTTATCCTAGTGGGTTGGCTGAACAATGCGTACAAAGGGTATAAACAGGCAATTTCAGGGAATGATAAGGCAAATAAAATAGGATGCTGTGAGAGGGGGCAGGGGGCGGAGCGTTACCTTAGCGAGGGTGGTTAGGGAAGACTCTATGAGAAGATGCCATTTGAGCTGGGGTGTTTATGGTAACCAGCACCCATCTGTCAGTCTGTTGTACTGTGATGGCTTAGGTGTTGCTATGATGCTAGAAGCTATGCCACCAGTATATCAAATGCCAGCAGTGTCAGCCATGGTGGACAGGTTTTAGCAGAGCTTCTAGGCTAAGAAAGACTTGGCAATCTACCTCTAAAAATTAGCCAATGGAGACCCCATGGACCACAATAGACTGTTGTCTGATATAGTACTGAAGATGAGCTCCCTAAGTTAAGCGGTACTATATAGTAGCCAGGGAGCTCTGGTACCATAGTGCCTAAGGCACTTGACTGCTAACCAGAAGGCTGGCGGTTCAAACCCACCAGCCACTCCTCAGAAGGAAGGTTGGGCAATCTACTTCCATAGAGATACCGCCTGGGAAACCTAAGGAGGGGTCGCTATGAGTCGGGTCCGACTCGACGGCACATAACAACAATAACAACATACAGTAGCCACAATGAGGGACTCAGACATGCCAATGGTCATGAAGATGTGCAGGACTATGCAGCATTTTGTATGTTGTCCATGGGGTTGTCATGAGTTGGAGTCAACTCGGGCAACTAACAACCACGATTTTATGGTAAGGAGTCAGCCAGGCAAAGCTCAGGGTAAAAAAATAAAAAAGCTCTAGGTGTCAGGGAGTGAGCTTAACAGGAAGGAGGCAGTGTGGCCTGAGCAAAGTGAATGAGGCAGCAAGGTGGCCTGGACAGAGTGGCCCGTGAAGAGTGAATGAGGTGATGTGAGACCTTCTAAAGAACCCTCAGAACTTCCCTCAGCATGCCTTCCTTGCTGCCTTCCTGCTTAACAGCCACCAATTCCCATCTCTCTTAGAGTGATGGCTCTCATCGTGGGTGATTTTGTTTCCCTGCCCTCCAGGACATTTGGCAATTGTTATGGATTGAACTGTGTCCCCCACAATTTATGTTGAAATCCTAACCCCTGGTACCTGTGAACACAACCTTGTTTGAAAATAGGATGTTTGAAATGTTATCAGTTATGTTACTCTGAGGTCATACTGGAGTAGAATGATGGGTCCTTAATCCCATCTGAGTGATGTCCTATAAAGAGGAAAAAGAGACAGACAGAGGGAAAAGGGCCATGTAATGACAGAGTTATGCTGCAGCTGCAAGCCAAAGAGTGCCTGGGACTGTCACAAGCTGGGAGATACAAGAAGGATCTTCCCCAAGAGCCTCCAGAGAGAACATGGCCCTGCCAACACTTTGAATCTGGAGTACAAGCCTCCAGAAACTCTGGTGACATAAGGCCTAAGGCATTTGACTGCTAACCAGAAGGCTGGCAGTTCAAACCCACCAGCCACTCTTTGGAAGGAAGATAGGGCAATCTACTTCCATAGTGATACCACCTCAGAAACCCAAGGAGGGGTCACTATGAATTGAATTGACTTGACAGCAGTGAATTGTTTTTATTTTTGGCCTCCAGAACTGCTCACAGTAAGTTTCTGCTTCTTATAAATAAATTCCTGTTCTTATGTGGTATTTTGTTATAGCAGACCTAGGAAACTATGGAGACATTGTTGATTGTCACAAATATGTGTGTGTGTGTGAGAGAGAGAGACGGAGAGAGAGAAAGAGAGAGAGAGTATGTGTTGGAGAACACTACTGGTGTCTAGAGGGTAAAAGCCAGGGGTGCTGCCAAATATCCCACTATGCACTGGACAGCCCCTCGAAAGAGGATTATCCAGCCCAAATGTCCATAAGGCCATGGTTAAGACACTTTATCTTAGAATACAGACAGTACCCCTACCCACATATTCAATTCCTCCCCATCCCTCAGACCTTATATCTGCCACTCTGCTCAAGCCACATGGACTTCTGAGTTCCTCGAACACAGTAAGCTCATGCCTACCCAAAGCCCTTCCCTGGCCTCTCTGTCTTCTTGACTGGTCCTATATCATCCAGGTCTCAACTAAAAGTTACCTGGGGAAGAGGCCTCTTCTGATTATTGACTCTAAGGTTGCTTCCCCCTCCTTGCCAGCCACGTGGCCTGCTAGAGTATCTCCATCGTACTTGGCCACTTTCTGAAACCATCTCATTATTTATTTGTGTATTTGTTTATTCCTTCTCCCTGTTAGAATTAAAGCTCCATGAGGGCAGGGGCCGTGTCCAGCTTCTTTGCTGCTAAATCCACAGGAGTTAGTGTTTTGCCTGGATCACAGTAGGGGCTCAGTGGCTATCTGGACAATTAAGGAATGAACCCTGACCATGAGGATCATTTCTGTCTGTCTGTCATTCAGACATACATATATTTATTTGAATAAACCAAAACCAAACTCACTGCCATGGAGTCAATTCCAACTCATAGCAACCCCCAATGGGTTTCCAAGGTGGTAAATCTTTATAGAAGCTGATCACCCATCTTCCTTCTGCAGAGCAGCTTGTGGGTTTGAACCTCCAACCATCTGGTTAGCAGTCAGATGCCTTCAGAACAAAGCCACCAGAGCTCCTTAAGACAACAGTTAAATGCTCAGGCCTGGCAATCTGCTTCTGAAAAGTCACAACCCAGAAAACTATGGGGCAGTCCTACTCTGCACACATGAGGTTACCATGAGTTGGAACCAATGTGCTAACAACAACACATGGTTATCAGCTCCTTAAGGATTTGGGCAATCTTCATGTTTAGAATTCCCACACTGGCACAGCGCTGGCCCCACTAAGTGCGTATTGACCTGACTCTCCTGCATGATATGATGTGATGTTACTATGCATCCATTTTCTGCTCTGTAGGATTTCACACCAATTTCCTATCCATCTAGGGAGTCTCCTCTAATCGCCAGTGAAGCTCTCTCATTCTGTTTCTGAGTTCTCCAAAGGGGTGAATGCTCAATAAAGCCAGCTGGAGAGGAAGCTTTCCCATAGGTCTCAATATGTGCACATTCTTCTCTGGCCTTACAGCAATGATTGAAGATAATCTCACGGAAAGCTGGTAATACCCCACCCAGCTGTTTTATTTGAACCAATCAGGAGAAAGTATTCAACATCTTCTGCCTAAGGCAGTTGACTGCTAACCAGAAGGCTGGTGGTTCAAACCCACCAGCCACTCCTCAGAAGGAAGATTGGACAATCTACTTCCGTAGTGATACCACATCAGAAACCCAAGGAGGGATCGCTATGAGTCGAATCCGACTCAACAGCAGTGAGTTTGGTTTTTTTTTTTTTTTGGTCTGAGGCCAGAATAAATGAAAATAGCCATTTATGAGGAAGACTGGCTACCCAAGGAAAATTCACTTTTCCTACTTTAGAGTCCTAAGAGTAAGTTTTTGTTCCTATTCCTTCACAGTCCACCACCATCAAGTGATTCCAACTCATAATGACCCTATAGGACAGGATAGAATGGCCCCATAGAGTTTCCAAGGCTGTAAATCTTGAGGGAAGCAGACTGCTCTGTCTCCTGCAGAGTGGCTGGTGGGCTTAAACCACTGACCTTTTGGTTAGCAGCCTAATGCATTAATCACTATGCCACTCGTGGCTCCGTCCACCATTTTATTCCTTCACAGACTACTATTTAAATGATATCAGAGGAATTTTCAAAGAAGACTAGACCTTTAAACAGCTAGGGAGTTGGTGAGCGATATTAGTAAGAGCTCAAGAAATTCCTGGAAGGTGGAAAGAAGATGAAAGAATGAAAGGACAGAAGGGAAGCAGAAAGCCACAGGGGCTTAAAGAATCCTCTGCCCAGCATAACCCAGAGAGGCTCCAGGTGTGAGGACGGGGCCCAGAAACATGCTAGTTAATTGATAGTTTGTCCATGGACACCTATTCTTGCTGGATCCATTCGCCTAACCCCCTTGTTTCTCCCATCCAGAGGTAGTGGAACTTTATTCCCAGGCCAACACACACATACATACACTTTTCTTTAAAGAAATTGAATGAATTACCTGGGGAAATTCATTTGCTCTCAGAATAAGTTCTAGTGCTCTGGATAAAACCCCTTTAAATCTATCCTTTGGGGGCCTAAAGGCCATCTCCCTGCCTTTAAGAAATGAAGCCAGCCTCTGAAAAAGTCCCATCATCCCACCCACCCACAGTTACAAAGCTTCTCATCAGAAGCAACCTCATACAAAGAGGAAACCTTAAAAAATGCAACCCGGTGTCCCATTCTTAAATATTAGTGTATCAAGAAACATAGCAACAAAACCAGTGGCAGGAAAGAGAAGGAATCAGATAAATAGAAATCTGACCCTGAAACAAAACAAAACTCAGAAAAACAGATTAAGTCAAGGAAAAGAAGAAAATTAAAGAGGAAGGAAAAAGCTCTAATTAATACATTCAGAGAGATTAAAAATTGTATTACATCCATTTAAATGCTGATTGATTGTGTATAGACTCAGAGAATAAGAAAATCAGAGAATATGAAAGAGTTTGTGGAAATAAATACATGATGGCCAGACCTAAAATGTAGAAGTTGTTGAATGACAAGGTTAAGGAAATTTCTAGAATAAAGATAAAAAACAAGAAAAATTGAGGTTTTTTTTTAAAAAAAAAGAAACATCAGGTTTGATGCAAGAAATCCCATATTCAACCAATAGGAGTCACAAAGAAAACAGAGGTAGAGGAAGAAATTGTCAAAATGAAGGAGAAAAAGGAGACAGTTTATGAAGATGAAAAGGATTTGATTTTAATCTGAAACAAAAAGTATTGAACAGAATAAATATTATCTAAACAAAAACTCACATCCAGACTTGTCCTGGAATTTCACAGCACCAAGGATAAGGATAACACTAGAAAATCTTCCAAAGAGAAAATTTGAGGCATATACTAGAGAATGAGATTCAGACAAGCATCAGACCAAGATGGCCTGGCTTCAAATTCTGACTTTCAAATACAACAGATGTGTTATCTTGGGCAAGTTTTTCTGCACCTCGGTTCCTCCATCTGTAAAATGGGGGATAATGGCAGTATCCATCTCATAAGAGTTGTTGTGAGGATTAAATGAATTAAACTCACGTATAAAAGACTTAGAATAGTTGCTGAAGTATAACAAATGCCATATATTTCCTTAGTATTATAATAATTCAAAAGGAAAAAACAAAACAACCCCAAAAAGAAAGTCAGTAATTACTTGTTATGGACCTCATGATTGTCCCTCCAGTGTTCATTCCATTCTCCCCATTATGGGGCAGCTGGGTGACTTAGGGAAGGATGAGGATGTAACACCACCCCCTTGGCCTAAACCAATCATCCTAATTCTATCAAACAACTCTTTAAGTCTGGGATGCCTAAATGAATCTAGTAAGAGTGAAGCTTTCTTCCTGTTCTAGCTTCTAGAACAAAATGTATGACCATGAATGAAACCTGACTAAGAATGAAGCCATCACAGGGGCAGGACAAAGCCCAGAGCATCATCAAGAAATAAAGTTAGAGCCATGATCAAACTATGCCTGAAACCCACACACTCTTTATTGTTTAAATTCATTTGAATTGTGTTTTCTGTTACATAACATCCAAGAGCATCCTCTCTGATATGCTCTGTATGCCAGAATCTCCAAGCCAAGGCCAACCTTGCACCAAGTGTTACCTGGATGATGTAAGATAGTGATAAGCCTTTGGATGAAGCACTGATTGAGGAGAAACTCAGGGTCACCAACAGGGCCACAATAAAGGTAACAATGTTCATGAGGATATCCATTCTCAGAGCAAACCACCTGAGAGCACAGTTAAAGTAGAGGAGGTGGCTGGAGTTTTCATCATTAAGCATCTTAAACCTAAAATTAAGAAATCAGATAAAACAGGAGATTAGGTATGCTTCCAGGGGCTTAGGCTTAGGTGTACTGGAGAAATAAGATAAAGGGAAATTTTAACCAACGGGGAGATGCACTTTTACATGGTAAACTTTTGCACAAATGAACATAAACCCATGCTCTTTAGAATCTGTTACATATTTGATCTGTACCTATGTTGAGTATGGTGCTAAATGGACTCTTTCTGCCTCTTCTAGAACTGGCAAGTAGAACCTGCAGCTGAGAACAAAAGGTTCTGAGTACTTCGCACACTAACATCCCCAAAGACTTAGCAGGGTTAACAATGGCCCTATGATCTATAAAAAAAAGTTGGGGGAGAGGCTGTAGGTGAGGTCACCTTTAAGGAGAGTCGGTGTTCATGGTGGCAGTGGAAGAGAGGGTGTCAAACTGGTTCCCCTCCCCAAATGAGAAAGAGAAAGAAGGTAATTGCTTATAATGTTGGGACATGCCTTCAAGGAGAGGAAGCTGGCATCTTGTCCCCTACCATATGTCCACTGAGCAGAGAGCTTGCTGAGAAGAGAAAGAGCACAGAGGAGAGTGACAGAGATGATGCAGCCAGAGGGTAGCAGCAAGATCCACCCCTAGAGTTCCTTGTTCCCCAGATGGATGGGAATCCCTGCGGGGTACAAATGGTTAATACACTTGACTGCTGGCTGAAAGGTTGGCCATTTGAGTTCACCCAGAGGCAGTTCAGAGGAAAAGTCTGTCAATCTACTTCTGAAAAAACAGCCATTGAAAATGCTATGGAGAACAGTTCTAGTCTGACACACATGAGAGTGCCATGAGTCCGAATGTAATATCAACAGTAACTAGTTTTGGTTATAGGAGCTCTGTAGCATAGTGCCTAAGGCACTTGACTGCTAACCAGAAGGCTGGCGGTTCAAACCCACCAGCCACTCCTCGGAAGGAAGGTTGAGCAATCTACTTCCGTAGAGATACCGCTTCAGAAACCCAAGGAGGGGTCACTATGAGTCAGGTCCAACTCAACGGCACATAACAACAACAACAGTTTTGGTTATGGAAAGCAGATGTTGCCAGTGCCTTCAGTTTCTAGAGTTGGGAGTGCAGAGGGAAGATGGCATTAGGGCCTGCAGTCTTCATGTGGAATTACTAAACATGAGGAATCACCTACATCAAAGAAATGCAACATGACAGATGCTGCCACCCAGTGATTGGCTGAAGACACTCTGGATCTTATTAATGGGGCAGTGTCTAGCAAAGCTGCTTGGGATTTGGTCCTACTGGGCCTTCCCCCTGCCACACCATATCTGCACAGTGAGCTGTGCAATAGAAGGGTAAGCAGAAGGGAGAGAATGGCTCAGATTGGGGCAATTCCCTGAAGGTATGTCTTGCCCTGGTCCCCTATATCCTCCTGTCATCAGAAGACCAGGGGCAGAAAAATGTGAGGCTATGTTTAAAAGAACCAGGTGTTTTCTCCAAACCCTGATCCATACACACCAATGTGTATATGGATTTTTCCCCTCTGGGGGAAAAGGGAGAGCTTTGACTTGAACCAAGCAACCGACCAGTTGCCCTTGTGTTGGTTCTGACTCATGGCAACCCCACGTGTCGTAGAATAGAACTGGGCTCCACAGGGTTTTCATGGCTGTGACTTTCCAAAAGCAGATCATCAGCTTTTGTACCAAGGCATCACTGAGTGGGTTTGAACCACCAACCTTTCAATTAGTAGCCAAGTGTGTAATTTTTTGTGTCACCCAAGAACTCCTGGTGATCTGAATATGATATTGAAATGTTAACTGGACTGAACTAACCATTAACCAAAGAGACATCAGACGAGGTAGACATTGAGGATTCCCCTGACCTAGAGGGAAAGGAGTTATGTCAGAAAAACTAGTAGCAATTACTGGGGGTGGGGCTAAAATCTTTCAATATTTAAATCTCTAAACAGTGAAGATTTCTCCACTGCACAGTTGCACAGTTGTGAACATCATCAAGCATTGCAGCTGCATCCTGTTCTGGAACTCCTCCAAGGATTCTCTGTAGAAGCTCCTCTGGCAGCCATCCTGGGCCCTACAGCACTCTCCTCCCTTGTGCCCACTCTAAGTTATTTCTCCAGAGCTAAGTCAAAATACTCTTCCAACACCATGATGTTTCTATGATGTAGTTATAAAGCCTACAAATTCAACTGAAAGATTAAGTGACATAGAAATCATCTGTGGTCTTATCTGTGGGGTTGGTTAGACTGAGTAGAAACAAAATCACTAGCTGGGATCAAAATGGAATTTGATCTCAAACCTTTTTATTTATTTATTAATGCTATAGCATTTCTCAACTAGTGGCAAAAGCAATACACGTCAGAAGCTCAAACCCTCTGGAACATCTGCTACGGGAAAACATATTAAAAGTAGGGAGACCCCATCAATCATACAGGGTCCAGCTCTCTCTGGAATTCTCTTGAATATCTTGGAGGAAACTCTGCAGGAAGCCAATGCTTGAAACAGTTTTGTTTATTGGGGGTGAACAGATGAATAGCTCCATGGATGGGAGCCTTTTCCTCATGACCAGGACATGAGAAGGGTCTATGTGTGGATGCAGGATCCTTGATGGATAATGTTGAGGTCAAACCAGTAACAGGATGAGCTGTTGATTGCACTAAAGACAGAACTGTGATGCTAAGTCTATATTGAGATCCTGAGTGGTGAAGTTTGAAGACAGTGTGAGAGAGAATTAGATGCAATTAGATTGAAATGTGTGTTAGATTTTTAAGGAAAGAAAAGATAGAAAAATGTAAACATCTATGTGACAGAGATTGTTATAGATTTACCAAACTCCATTTACTTTTCCTCCTATAAACTCAGCAGGACTACATTCTCCAGCCTGCTTTGCAGTTAGGTAAAGCCATGTGACTGAAGTCTGGCCAATGAATGTACAGAAGTGATGAGGGTCCCCACTAGGTTTGTTCCATAAAAACTTTTCACAAACCAAAAACCAAACTCACTGCCGTTGAGTCAGATCCAACTCATAGCAACTGCCACTTGGGTTTCCAAGGCAGTGACACTACAGAAGTAGATTACCCAGCCTTCCTTCCAAGTAGTGGCTGGTGCATTTGAACCACCAGCCTTCTGGTTAGCAGTCAAATGCCTTAGGCACTATGCCACCAGAGCTCCCTTAATCCTCCTCTTTCTTCTTATCTTACAGTTAGATACAAAGGATCCTGGAGAAGACTTCAAGGCCCTTGGGGATAGCAAAGCCCCGATGGAAAGAGATTGAGTACCTGAGTATGGAATAGAACCCTCATTGAATTATAACTTGAGGAAGAATGAACATTGTGTGTGTGTGGGTCTGTGTGTTAAGCTCCTAAGATTGGGGTTGTTTATTACAGCGGTGAGTCTACTGTGACTAATACTATATATATATATATATATATATGTGTGTGTGTGTGTGTGTGTGTGTGTGTGTGTGTGTATATATATATGTATATGTATATATAGCCTTTTAGAATTTTTCTGCTGGAAGGCATCTCAGAAATTTACTAATCTAGTCCTCCCAACATTTTAAGAAGGAGGAAATTAGTCTATCCACTAAGTGAATAATTTTAAATCTTAATTTTACTTAATACATAATAACATGAAAAATACTATTTTAAATTGTAAATAAAGGAAAAAATACTTTAGAAAAAGAAAACCCTATGAATAGAAAAGAAAAAAGACTGGAAGGAAATATCTGGAAATATTAATAGGATTTGAGTTTGAGGCCTATGAGTGATTTTTTTTCTTTTTTCTTTCTGCTTTCCTATATGTTCCTGAAGTGAACACATTTAGTGAAAAACAAAACATGTGAAATCACATACTGAAGTTGTCATTGAATGAGCTCCCCTAATTTACATCTTCATGGGGCCCCAGAAGCTAGGAAGAAAAGCCACACATCATAAAGTGTGCCTTCTCAATTCTGCCAGGTCTTCATCTAGAATCAGTCACCAGTGAGCCCCGACTTCCCGTCTCAGAGCCAGAAAAGCCATGAAGTAGGGAACCCTGGACCAGGGGCCCAGCCAGGACTCACTTGTTGATGCAGTTCTCCTTTTTGTCGTAGGCGTGAATGATGCCCAGCCCCTGCATGGAGGAAGTGATGTGGGAGAACCAGGGTGACCGGCTGATGTTCTCCACCTTCTTGAGCTCCTGGACTCCTCTATGGAACACACTGCAGGAAAATTGAGAGGGGCCAAGAGGGCCTCACAGGGGTATCTCAGTGGGGTCACATTTGGCACATGCAGATTCAAGTATTCAATCAACACAAACTGGGGAGAATGAGTGGGCCACCATTCTCCTCTAAGAGGGTACATCCAGGTGATGTGAGGGGAAAAGGTCTGAGAAATGTGAGTATACCAGTTCTTCATTTGGTCTCACTTCTGAGTGCTTTTTGCATCATGAGTGATTCTAGTGATCTGTTCCAACTCTGGAGGAAACCTTGGACTGTCAATTGCCGACACGTGATTTCCTAAAGGCACTTTCAGAGGTAATTTTGACCAAATGTTATTCTAGCCTCAAAAGGTGCCTTGAGCAACTCAAACAACACAAACAAGAGCACAGACAGGAACAGCAATCAGATAAACACAGGGATTATAAAAATGAACCCCAGCCCACGGAATCCACTTTAAAAGCTGACATCCAGAGCAGGCTCAGAAATTATTTTATTGGGTCAACACAGTAAATTCTTAGAGCTGGAGATAGAGGCCATGTGTCCTTCCTCAGGGCCACCAAGGAGGCAGTGGGAAAGGAGGTGAGAGCCCAACTCTCCCAGACCCCAGGGCACTGGTACGATAGCCCCTCCAATTCCTACCCAGATGCCAAGGATGCCCAAGCCCAGATCTGAAGCCCTGATGTATTCCTGTACCCAGATTCCCCACTGCCCACCTGTTCCCTCTACAGACTTGCCCCACAAACTTGAAACATCCAAACCCAAACTCATCATTTTCATTACCCAAGTGCTTCTCCTCCTGTATCACCTCTCTCCACATCACTCCCCACCTTGGAGTGACCCTTGGTTCCTCTATCTACTCAACTCACAAAATCCCACAGGTAATGAAACCCCAATGATTCTGTGTCAATTGGAAATGGCTCGGAATCCACCCCTCTTCCCTCTTCCTATTGCTACTGTGTACATCTGATCCACCTCGTCTCTCTTGCAGATTCTACATCTCAAGAGATGCCTGATCTTTCAGTTGTTCTATCCACCCCAACACACTTTGGCCAAGGCCATCTTTCTAAAACACAGATCTGAGTATCCTTGGATTAAAACAAACAACTCAGTTTACAAGTAGAGGTGGGTCCAGGAGTTGTGGGCTGAATCTTTTACAATTTAAGGCATCTCTTTAGGACCCTCAGTATCCAGCACAGAGCTGGGCACATCTAGGAGCATAATAAATATTTTATTCCTATGGACCCTCTAAGTTTGTATAACATTGTATTCCATTTCTACTTTGTTGCTGTGAGGTGCCATCGAGTCAACTCTGACTCGTAGCAAGCCTATGTACAACAGAAGGAAATACTGCCCAGTCATGCACCATCCTCACAATCCTTGCTATACTTGACCCCATCATTGCAGCCACTGCATCAATCCCCCTTGTTGAGGGTCTTCCCCTTTTCCACTGACCCTCTACAAGACACTGATAGTCATATAGTCTCATTTTATCCTCACAATAACCCCTGTAAAACAGATGAGGCCTATAGAGATATGCATGTGTGTGCATACACATAAATTTTTGAGGCATATATTTTAATGATTACTACTTTACAGATGAGGAAACTGAACTTTGCAGAGTTTTGCTGACCCCTTCAATGTCCTCCGGCTAGTTTTACAGCAGAGCTGGGGCTCTGATATAAGATTTCTGATTTCCAACCCTTTGTTCTCATGCAACACCAACCAGTGCTACCTGCTGAGAACTCCAGCTTAACTCAGGACCAAGTCTTCTTGGGAGGTTGGGATCATTGCTACCTACCTGGTTTCTCTGAGTGGACTTGAAGGTGACCACAGCCCCAGCAGGAGTTCCCAGGACAAATAAGCTTGAGGCTTTCTCTAACGATGCCAATGGTTGGGAATGGGGCAATTTTTCAAAGCTCAGAGGGACTAAGGATTGGTGTTCTGTCTCTTCAGCAGCAGGAATGACATAGCCTCCCAATTGAGAACATATCAGCAGACAAGCTTACTACTTTCCTGGCCTGAGACAATTGACTTAACCTCCAATATATAATATCTACCTCACATGGTGGCTCCAAGGCTAAAAGATCAGGATGTATGCAAAGCACTTAGCATAGCACCTGGCATTTAGTAAGTACTAAAAATCAACGTGCTCCACCATCAGAGCAGTCAGCAAGTGCTCGGCATTATGTGGTACCCGGCCATTGTCTACGGCCAACTGAGGATGCTCTGTGTTGATTGGAAATGTACGTCTGTGGGTTTTTCCTTTTCTAAACAGAGCATCGACCTACCGTAAGAGAATGATGAAGCCTACAGCAAGGCCAGCCAGGACTAAAAGGACCGCAGGAAACACAGCAGCCAGTATCACAAGGATAAACACCACCATAAAAAACTGCTGCAGGAAGTTCTCGGCATGAAACGGCAGCCTAACATCCAGTTCGTCCATATCCTTGGAAAAACGGTTCATTAGCCTGCCAGTGGGAATCGTGTCAAAGAAGCTCATTGGGCTCTTTAAGATCTGTGGATAAAAGCAGAGAGTCAGTGGAGATGTGTGTTCAGTAAACCCCAGCCGCTCTGCTGGGATTGCAACTGTAGAGCACAGGGCCCTGGCTGCACAACAGGCCATCTTGGGAAAGTGAGGGTGCTCCCATTATTGTGGCCACCTGGAGAGAGGAGATGTGAGAAAAGTCTGGTTTCTGTAAGGAGCTCCAGAGAGAGTCCCTCAGGTCAGGCTTCTCCAAATCCAGGGTGCAGTTTAGGGTAGGGGAGGCAGGTGCCTTTGGAGAAGGGAGGATTATGGCCCCACAGCTATGAGAAGCTAAGTTCCACTGTGGACTCTGCCCCCAGTGTGCGGGCCGGACCTGTGTGTTCTCGCCAGTGTTCTCACAGCCAATGGCTGCTGCCCACTGCAGTAGTAGAATTAGGAGGGGCTAGAAGCACTTCTTGAAGCCCTCGATGTACTCAGGGTTCGTTGGAACGGGAGATGCTCTCTTGGCCTAAAGATCTCTGCTCCAGAGTCGCTTACTCAAGGGGACCTTCCTGACTCTCCCATATTCACCCCCTGCCTAGTCTAAGAGCCCATGATGCATCCCAGTTTGCCTTCAAAGTTGGTAATTAGATACTCAGGAGACTCTTCCTGCACCAGACTGTGGACTCCATGAGGGCTATGTCTGTCCCCAGAGCCCAGCATAGTATCTGGCACATAGTTATTAGTTACTTTTGAGTTACTCCCTGCCTCATGTGGACCCTATACACAATGGAATGAAATGCTGCTTGGTCCTGCATCAGCCCCACAATCAGTTACAAACCAGACCATTGGGATTCCTGGAGTTTTCATTGGCTCATTTTCAGAAGTAGATCAGCAGGCCTTTCTTCCTAGTTTGTCTCAGTCTGGAAGCTCTGCTGAAACCTTTTCGGCATCATCACCATATGAAAGCCTTCACTGATGGACAGGTGGTGGCTGCACATCAGGTGCACTGGCCAGAAATCAAGGCCAGGTCTCACATGGAAGGTGAAAATTCTACCACTGAACCATTATTCCCTCTTTCTGGCACATAGTAGGTGCTCAATAAACCTGGTTGTGGGAATAATGGGATGCACATGCAGTACCTTGTCAAACACTCGGTCATGTAATGAGGAAGATGCCATCAGTGTGGTCTTGGTGAAGGTGAAGCCTTTGGCAACGCTGAACATCAGCACGGACACCATGCTCCCCACGTACACCCACTGGTATAGATGTCCCCCCATGTCTGCCAGCACCATGCCAATCTCACACACAGTCTTGTTGCCCTGGGGCCCACAGGTTATCTTTGGAGAAAAAAGCACAAAGCATTGGTAAACTGTCAGGAGAACAGGAATTTTTCATTGAGTGAGTCTAATTATTAAAGGTGAATCACATGTGTGAAATCAAGTTGATTCTCTTTGGGGAACTTTGAACTTTCCAGGGTCCTCCTCCTGGGTGGCCATGACTCCAAGGGGGCAAACCAGACAAGTGTGGGCAGCCATCCTGGACTGGCTGGCTGTATCTCAGGAGCTCAGAGTGGATGCTGAGTCACTGAAACAAACTGAAAGCCTAGAGTCTATAACGCTGGCTGAGCAAGCCCAAAGCAGAATCGGGGACTCACCTCAAGTGGGCAAGTGGCCTGGCAGAAGCCACCAGGACTTCAGGGAGATTTGGGGCCCTCTCTATACAAAGGGCCAGCTCCATGTCCCCTCCCTTTCCGTTACTCAAGGGTCAACTCAAGGGGAATGGTTGTACCCTGCCCTGGAGTCTCTAGTGGGGAGGAGAGTGCCTAGTGAACTCAAGGGGTCTTTGGAGGATTCAAGGAGACCATAGCTCCATCCCACTCAGGTGAGAACACACATTTCTACTAGCAGAATACGCCAGCATAGCATTTCTGCTCCAAAGAAATTGACAGCTGCATTTTTTCTCTGAGTTGTGTGCTTCAAGTTAAGACTGCCTTTGGGGAGCAAACAAGCTCCTTCCTTCTAAATGCAATTTTGCTGATTACAGTAATAGCGGAAATGTAAACCAGAGGTGGCTGATGGATGGGCATCCACGAAAGCAAAACCAGCTCACTTATAAAAAGCCCAGTTTGGAGAGGAAACTACTGTGCCTTAGGTGGTGCCCCCTAGGATCTGGGGGGGCAAGCACATGGGTCTGTCATCATTGCTGCATGCTCAGTTAGCCACTGGCAGCTGGCAAGCTCCAAGCCTTGGAGGCTTCACCTTGACTCTAACCCTAGGCTTCCCAAGGAAAGGGCTCTCCAGGAACAAGAGGGAATGGGAGAACACACATGTTCCAGAGATGGCTCTACCTCTGCACAAAGTAAGCCACCCACTGGCTTCTCCCACTGGTGATAGCCCCAGGAAACTGTGCCAAACTGAGAAAACATAGCAGCCTCTCTTCCTTACAAATCTCCCCGATGCCTCCTCACTTTAGTTGTTATAGCAACAACACTACACCAAAATATAACATTGGAGGATGACCAGGTGAACCCCCCAAGCATACTGTGGGACTCCAGGAAAGCTTTGAAACTACTGGCCCAAAGCTAGGAACTTCCAGCAAGCTCAAGTGAGAGCAGACTTAGCAGTAGGGGCCCTGGTCCAGAATAGAGCGCTGAGGAGCAGTGGCCCTGCAGCAGTGGCCCTGATCTGACCCTTGCATGTCCCATTCCTGTGAGGAGCCCTTAGGGAGCTGAGCACCAGGCTGTGTTCATGATAAAATGTCAGTTTCTCTTCAGCGGCCGGAAGACACAGATCTATGTTAGGCTCTCTTGGCCCCTCCTATCCCCTCCTCAAAGGCATCTTACAATAGAGGCTGCAAACAGACCCTATCACAAATGAACCCTGTCCCACAGGCTGCAGGCTGCCCACAGATACGGTATATTTCATTGAATAATCTTTTTAACCAATACTTTCAAAGGTGGCATATAAAAGTCCAATGCCCTGTTTGTCTTGAAAAAGCAAAGAGGATTTTGGGAATCCTCATCATATAGCATCAGCAACTGACCTCAGCTCCATGGAAAGAGGCTGGCGGATGCTCATTGCCCGCAGTGTGGTGCTAAGCATATTCAGACCCTCCACCAGCACACAGACTAAACCTATTCCAACACCAAAGGGAAACTCACCTGTGAGCCCTTGTCTAACCAGAGGCCCAGCCACCAGTTGCTGAAGGCGGAGCTGCCAATCATCAGGAGGAAGAGGGACACTGCAAAGAGAGAGAGGAGGTACCCTGCAAGAGAGGGGGAAGCCCATGAGGGTATGAGGAAGGGACTGTGCAGGGTCTACCTTCCTCAGCCCTGACCCTGCTGGGCTATTCAAAGCCAGCAGGAAAAGGATTCCCACCCCTGGGAGCCACCTTCTAGGCCAATGCAGTAGTCTGGCTTTGGAGCTCTGGCACTCAAAAGGGACATCTGTTCCACTTGATTGGAAATTGGGTCCAAATTATCAACATCTTGGAAAAACCATCCCTATGCATGTAATAGAAGCGAGTTGATACTCTCTAAAAACAAACAAATAGAAGTCTCATCTTGTTGCGGAGAGATGGGGAATGAGACTACGAGGCGTGTTCTGCACACCATGATGGAAATCTCCGTATGGGAGGCAGGCAGCAAGCTGATTGCTGCTGGACACGGGGATCAGAGTATGAGGCTGCAGAAGAACCATCCTGGTTCACGCTGCTGCTCACTCCGTTTCAATAAAATAGAGTCTGGCAGCTTTAATGGAGATAAAGAATGATTCCATTTAAAAGGCTATATTATCAGGCTTGAGATTTTGAAGGAGGAAGAAACAAAACAAGCATTGATAAACAGCCCTAACATAAAGAGAGTAATTGTTTAAGGAATCATAAAACATGATCCCATCAGCTTAAGAAAAGATTTTTTTTTTAAATGAAAATTAAGAAACCCATTGTTGTATACTGAACCTCCAGAAGCCTTAATGTACGTGTGATACGTTTTCCAGGTCACTGACCCTTCCCGGGGGGATTCGATCTGGACGAGCTGATGCACAGGAGCTATGGAAACAAAGACAAATCCAATAGCATCCACATCCGAAGGTGAGGAGCCCCATGAGGCAGGCACACGCCAACCGCATGCTGCACACCCCCTGGGGCAGTTATGAACCTGCCTTCAGTTTCCCCTGCTTGCAAATGTCCAACACTTTTGCCCCTTTTAGATTATTTGATCCTTATTCCAGCTCTGCGGGCTTTCTGAGAAATATTTATTAAGCACTCAGTATGTGCTAAGGGCCCTGGTAGCACAGTGGTTAAGTGCTTAACTGCTAACCAAAAGTTTGGTGGTTTGAACCCAGCAGGCATTCCATGGAAGAAAGACGTGGCAGTCTGCTTCCATAAACATTACAGCTTGGAGACCTTATGGAGCAATTCTACTCTGTCCTACAGGGTCGTTATGAGTCTGAATCCAACTCTACAGCAATGGGTTCGGGGTATGAAATAGGCCCTGGGGATGCAGGGGCTATTAGTGTGGTTGCCCAAGAAGCAAATCTGCTTCTAAGAAGAGGAAATGAATACAAGCTCCTAACCAAAAATTTGGCAGTTCAAGTCTACTCAGAAATACCACGGAAGAAAGACCTGGCCGTCTACCTCTGAAATCTCAGCCATCAAAAGCCCTGCGGAGCCCAGTTCTACTCTGACAGACTCACCGGCAAACAGAGAAAGAAAGAAAGAATTTGGAAGATAAAGGGAGTAGGGAAGAGAAGACAGCCAATAAAACACGTATCATTAAGCCCGGTATCACTGTGGGAGACCAGAGCTTAATGCCAGGTAGAGAAGACTCAGAGCCAGTGTACAACAGACACCTTGGAGTTTTTCCACATGATGGGAGGAATTTGGGATAGTCCTACACCAACTCTCAATGGCTGTTGGCTTACGACTGCTTCTAGGGGATATTAATTCACCAGCACTTCCAGGTTGAACTGTGACTGCTAAAACAGACTTCTTCTACCAGAAGGAGCCCTCAGGCAAAGAAATGCAAAGCTGCAGTTGGAAATGGGGCTGCAGGCACTCAAGTGGTAAAGAAGGAACATGGGCAAGGCCCCAGCATCATCTTCTACTAAAAGCAGTTACGTCTACTCAAGCCAGCCTCATGGCGACACAACGTGTGTCAGAGTAGAAATGTGCTCTTACGGTTTTCAAAGGCTAATTTTTCAGAAGTAGATTGCCTGGCCTTTCTTTCAAGGGACCTCGAAGTGGCGTTGAACCTCCCATTTTTCTATTAACAGCTGAGGGCATGAACTGTTTGCACCACCACGGATTCCTAGCTTCTACTACAGGGGTTAATAAGAAAGAGGGAGTTCCTGTCTTCTCAGAGCTTACACCATGCAGGAAAATGAAGGTTATCCTTAGCATCTGCTGCATGGGATTTTGATTCCTTCCCTAGGACTTTCTCAAAACAAACAAGTAAACAAATCAATTGCCAGCTCTTACTCATCGCAACCCCATGTGTACAACCGTGCTCCATAGGATTGTTGCAAGCTATGATCTTCTGGAAACAGGTAGCCAGGGCTTCTCTTCAAGGTGCCTCTGGGGGGGACTCAAAACCACCACCCTTTTCAGTTAGTAACTGAACTCTTAACCATTGGCACCACCCAGGGACAACATGGCGTTCCCGAGTCCTCTCCATTTCCCAAAGTGAAGGGAAGGAAAATGGCTGTCAGGCTTTCATAAACAGAACATTGCGAGGCACAGGCATGCCGGCTAAAGCAGCTCCCAGCAGCCGAATGCCCTTGGCTTCCCTCTCTTCCATAGAGAAGTATGAAAATGTCAGAGCAAAATCATAAACCATAGTTGGCTACTATAAACAGAGATAAATAGAGCTAGACAAGGAGGCACCCCCACACTCGGACTCTGCACTCTGCCCAACAGGGACCGCTTTCACACCTCAAAGGCGCTTGGCCGAATAGAGCCACCATTATACTCTCTCCCTGGAAACCTTTGCACATCTTTGAAAATTTCCAGCCTGACTCTTGCTCATTTTGTCTCCCCATGGGCCCACAAAACAAGGGAGCCGTCAAGGCGAGTGGGCGATGCCTCATGAAGGACATGCTGGAGCACAAAGGGGGCCGCTCAGACCCTCTCGCAGCCTGCCAGCCTGCCAGGGTGCTGCCAAGGATCTTTACACCTTTGCTGCATTCAGAAGATGTTCTGGGGCCAAGCTGGCAGCAGGGCTGCCTTTAGTTGTTCACAAACATCTCCCCTTCCTGCAGCTTTCAGAGCATTTAACAGTCCAGTCATTTATCCTCAGGCTTGGGTAAAATGGTCAGAATTTCACTTGGCTCTCCAGAGGGTGGAGGTGGTGAGGACAAAAGGAGCAGGATTTACTCTCTCCACAGGACCCCAAACCAAGGGGCTTTTGAGCAGAGAGCGGAAGAGATGGCCAGGCACCTCGCTTCAGCCAGGGAGGCCACCAGAGCAATAACAGTATCTATCTTAATATTTCAAACATGTATTGCTTTGTCACAAGCCGTGTTAATCATGCCCTACTTTATCAATTCAAAGATTCACTTTTTTTTTTCTGCACATTTTAACAGCTCTGAAATCAGGATGGGTTTTCGTTTGATAGCATGCCATATCGTTTAATCGGCCAAGATTTTTCTTTCTAAGTGGTACATAAAATGGTGATCTTAAAATGGATGGCATCTTAAGTCGGATGAAATACACTAGGGTTTTTTTTTTTTTTTTTTTTCCCAGCTGCACGTCATTGAGGAACAGGACTCTGGCTCAGGAAGCCATTCTACTGAGGGCACTGTGAGGTTGAAGCCTGTGGGGTTTACCCTCTGCCTCCTCCATGCCCAGCACAGGGTAGGGCGGGGAGCAGGTACTCTATAATATGGAGTGGATGAAGGGCTGAAAGATAACAGTGCCTAAAGAGACCATGCATTGTAGGCTGTTTAGCACCATCCCTGAGCCAGCCTGGCCTTCGCCAGGCTCATCTCCCAATCCCTTCATACTCACACACCAGCCCAGTCTTCTCACCACAACGTCCCTGCCAAATGTGTACATATCCTTGAAGGATCAGTCCAGAGGTCCCCTCCTCTCTGCAGTGCTTCCTGACTCAACACTCCCACTCTTACTCCCCATTTCTCTTATCACAGCCGCCCATGATTGTCCATTGGGCTGCTATCCCCATCAGACCTCTATGGTCAGTCCTATGGAAAAAGGATGGAGGCAGTCTTTTCTTCATCTTTCTCCCCCAGCCTAGCTCAGTGCTCAGGGCATAGTAGGTGCTTAGTCTTTGTTGAAAGAATGAATGACTTATCCAACTTTGATTCTGCCATTGCTGTCTAATACTTTCTCAGTGCCCCCTATAAAGAGTAGGAAACATCTGTTACTCTTGTTTTCCTCTTATTAGTCCCTGTGCATTGCTTTGATCTCTCATAATAACAATAACAACAACAACAACAAACTATTGGGGGGTTACTGTGTTAATCACTTCCTTTAATCTTCTCATTTAATCTTTGCAAGAACCTCTGAGGTTGGTGCTATTAGATTTCTATTTTATGGATTAGGAAACTAAGGCTAACAGTGGCCACATAATTTGCCCAAAGTCACAGTTACTGAGGGATGGAGCCAGGATTCAAATTGAGGCAGTCAGACCCCAAGGCTCACACTCCAGCAGACCATTAAACCCACTGCTATCGAGTTGATTCCAACTCATAGCAACACTATAGGACAGAGTAGAACTGCCCCATAGGGTTTTCAAGGCTGTAAATCTTTATGAAAACAGACTACCTCTTCGTTCTCTCATGGAGCAGCTAGTGGGCTCGAACCACCAACCTTTTGGCTAGCAGCCAAATGTGTTAACTACTACACACCACATCTGCTATACCCTACACTTTTCTATCCCAAGCAGCAGATACTCAACAGATATTTAAGGCTATGTAAGTGAGAAAATGAATGGCCAATACCTTTTATATCTACAAATTCTGCATCTGTTTCAGATTCTTTCCCTTCGCCTTTCTCATCTCTTGGAGCCAAAACTAGGGTAAGAAATAAAGAGAGATCTGTGTCCATTCATGAGCTCTAAGCAATAAGAGAGGTAAGGTTCTAACTTGATTGTACCAGTGTCTTCATCTTTCTCAGCAGGGCTCTCCTTAAGGGCTTCCACCATCGCTGCATTATAAATGTGCTCAGGATCCTGGGAACAAAAGGAAATTCCTTCTGAAAGCTCCATGACAGAACTTCTAGACCCAAAATTATGCAGGAAGACTCTCAATCTCTCCTGCCCAAGTACCCAAGGAGTTACCTTGAATTGCAACCCTCTGAGGTTGTGGATCAGCTTTGCATAGTGCCCCCTCTCCTGCATCAACTTCATGTGGGTTCCCCTTTCACAGATTTCTCCATCCTCTAACAAGATGACTTCATCACAAGACTCCAGGAACTGCAGAGAGAGAGAAACAGCCTAATGGGCTTCTGCCTTGGTAAGAGTGAGGAGAGCACCATGGCAAACGCCCTTCCAGTGAGTCCTGGGCTTACCTAGTGAAGGTTTTTTAACTTCAGCACTTCAGACTCCAACCCCATGCTAGGGCGGAGTAGAATTGTGCTCCCTAACATTTTCTGTAGATGATTTTTTTGGAAGTGGATAGCAGACTTTTTCCAAGACACCTCTGCTTAGACTCAAACCTCCAACCTTTTGCTAGCAGCCAAGCACATTCACCGTTTGTACCACCCAGAGATTCCCTACTGACATTAAACCGAAACAGTAAACCTATTGCTGTCAAGTCAATTCCGACTCATGGTGACACCACCTGTGTCAGAGTAGAACTGCGCTCCGCTTTCTCTTACAGAGTGACTGGTGGGTTGTAATGGCCAACCTTTAGGTCAGCAGCTGAGCCTTTAACCACTGTGCTACCCAGGGGCTCCTTATTGACATCACCCAAAAAGACAAACCCAACCCACTGCCGTCAAGTTGATTCTGACTCATAGTGACCCTAGAGGTCAGAGTAGAACTGCCCCACAGGGTTTCTCAGGCTGCAAATCTTTACAGAAGCAGACTGCCTTGTCCTTCTCCCACAGAGTGGCTGGTGGGTTTGAACCATTGACCTTTTGGTTAGCAGCCCAGTGCTTTAACCAGAGCTCCTTTATTGACAATTAACCTACCAAACCCACTGCCGTCAGTCGGACCCGACTCATAGTGACTCCTCCTTGGGTTTCCATCACTACGGAAGTAGATTACCCGATCTTCCTTCCAAGGAGTAGCTGGTGGGTTTGAACCTCCAGCCTTCTGGTCAGCAGTCAAATGCCTTAGGCACTATGCCACCTCTGTATTACAGGATTTTAGCAGCATCCCTGGCCACTCCCCACTAGATGTTTCCAGTCACTGCCAAATGTGGGGGAGGAGAGGTGGGAGGAATGCAAAATTGCCCCCAGTTGAGAAGCACTGATCGAGCACTCACAGCTCTGGTGAATACAAAAACAGCCCTTTGGCTTTCAAGTTGAAGCACACTGAATCATCCTTTGCTACTGTTTCCTAATTGCAGCTACCCTCCTAAGAAATCTCATCATGGAGGTCTGAAAAAGGAATGAAAAAAAATCACTGCAGACAAGACCAATCGTTTGGTAGAGAAGCCAAATATTATGCTTAGTGAGAGCCTCCCTCTTATAACAATTCCACAAGTCCACCTCATCCTCTCCATCTAGCCCGGAAGAAGCTGCCATAGTGTAGTCTGGACCAATAGGCTACACGCCATAAGCTGAGAAGCTCACCTTAGGTTCATCTGTGTGATAAAAATACAAGAACATTTTTAATGATGGCATCCTACATTTTGCTCCAAGCAATTCTGTGTCTCTAATTTGGTTCTCTTCATTTCCATATCACTCCTGAGATCAAAGAGTTTAGCCGGGAGGGTTTCCTTTAATTTTGGAATAAGATAGACCTCTTCACATTGGATCCACCCAGCTAAGGGCAGGGAGTCCTCTCCTAGAGGTGTCCAGAATGCTGAGAGATTTAAGAAAGCTTAGCCTTAAGAAGTTTTTGGTGTGGGCCAGAGGTTTCCCTTGTACTCTGGGGTCACCCAGGTTGAATTAGCCTTCAGTACTCTTGATTTTAGAAACCTTAAAGAAGTCCCCATGCTTGGTCATTGTCCACCTGACATGCTCAGTATAGAAAAGGAGTGTGTGTGTGTGTGTGTGTGCACACGTGCACACATGCACACGCCTAAAAAGCCAAACCACAGCAGCTTGGAAGAGCTGCCAACTTGGACAGCTCTGGTCTTTATGCTTCTCTTAAACCAACTGTCCAGCTCCCTGTCCCCCTTTCTCCAGACAAGCCAAACAGGAACAGCCTGGCTTTTAATGTTCAGTTGAGACATTTTTTCTTACAGAGACTTTTCCCTGAAAATAACATCTCACACTATTTTCTAATTGTTCCAAGTCTGCTCCCGTCTCTCACCCCTCCATCTCCCAAAATCTAGTAAAGAAAGCAGGCAGCTTTATCATCAGCCTGTGTTCCAGATGTGAAAACTGAGGCACTGTAGCACCGGGGGCAGCCCCATACCCTCTCTTGCCTGAACGGAGACGCACACTCCAGCCCCCAGGCTCCTGGCTATGGAGCCCTGAGCCCCTGGTTCACCCAGCAGCCAGGCCCAGCTTTCTTCTGCAAACCCTCACAGACTCTGACCTAGGGATGGATTCCAGCTGTTTCCTCAAGTAACAGAGGAGCAATTGCCTAGCCCAAGCACCAGGAATCATTTGGGTTGCTCTGACCACCCAAGAGTCAAAGCAGCCAAGAAATGTAGTAGATTTCCTGGGGCTCCTTCTAGGGCTCTGAGCCTCCACCTCTCCCAAAACAGATAGTCAGAATGAGACAATGGTGCCACCTGGTGGCTGCCTGTATTTTTGAGCACGTAAAAAATTGAGCTAAAATGACCTTGGTGAAAGGTAGAATCCGTCAGTATTTTTTTTCAAAGTGCAAGAGGCCCAGATCATCAGCATATTCATTGTAGGTTGAGGAAACTGAAGCCAAAGGCAATTCTTGCCTGTTTTTCTCAGCCTGTTGAGCTCATGCTGCTGTTAGTGGGTTTCATAGATTGGACCAGAACTGAGGTGTCCTGACCCCTAAAGGGGGGATTATGAATTCCACCTCCACGCGGACTCCACCCAAAGGCACACTGGAAGAAAGGCATATGATCTGTTTCCAAAATGCACAGCCTTGAAAACCCTGTGGAGCACAGTTCTAACTAATCTGCAATATGTGGGCTTGCCATGAGTTGGAATTTACTCCCCTGCAATGGGTTTAGTTTTTTTTGGTTTATGAAAACTCTTACTGGAAGAACTCAGATCCACATTGTCAGATATCAGTTATCTCCCTCTAGATCCCCAAACCCCTCAGGACAGCCTTCTTGACTACAGGTTGTCTCCAGGATTGGAAATTCAGTGTGCAGAACTGTGCACCTTGGCTGGGTGAGAGTTTATTCCCAGTCACCTCATTGGGGGAGGAGGGGCAAAGAAATCCAACCTTTTCCTCCACTCTGGCCCACAGAGGAACTGGGAGCTCTGGTCCACACAAGCCCAGCCTGATGCTTCCTGGAGGTAAGCAGGCCCATTCAGAAGAAACTCCATTGGTCTCCACATGCAATATTCAGATGCTTGAAGACTATTCTGGAAGCAGAACTCTAGCCCTCAGCAAAGGCCAGCTGAGGCTCGGGACAGGGCCACAACAATAGGAAGACCTATTTTTCCTGAGTCTTTAAGAAGTTCCCCCTCATTCAGTCTGGCCCCTCCTGACTACCTGCCAGAAGATCCTAGAAACACTGGTTACAGTGTCGCCATGGTAATGGCATCTGTCCCCATCCCCAGCTTGACTTACCCTTGCAAGGCCATGAGACCTGCCTCCAGCTCCCAGACCAGGCCCTTGTTAAGTATCCTCCTGAGAGTGGCAGAATGAAGGGCACAGGTCTTCTGTTCGCCCCACTCCAGCAGACCTCTAATTGCAGGTCAGTCCCCTGGAATCTTGCCTTCGACAGGACAACCACACACACACACACACACACGCCCTACTGGGGAAGCGCTGTGGAGAGGGGTAGCACCAGATAGTGGAAAATATCTGGCTTTTCTCAGTGGTGGAGGGTCTTGGATTCCCATCAGGCATTCAGAACTCCTTGTATGGGACTGACACAGCAAAGACTATCCCCACCCTAAAAATTCTCAAGTTCTCTCAGGGCTAGCCCTTTCCTCAGCACCATTCATGTTGCCAAGCAGCTTCCTGCCTTAATCTCAAAGTCCAGGCCTACGGCCCCTTTCCCCTGGGGAAAGGTGCCAGGGGCATCCAAGGGTCCGCCATGCCCTGTCACCCCCTGCCAAGGGGCCCCTGGTCTCAGGCCTGCCTAGCCCTTGCTAGAGGAGGGGTAGAGTCTCTGGCTCTCCATTTGCCCACCATCAGTGGCCAAGAGCTGGAGGAGGTTTGCCTCATGTCCATTCCACAGGCAGGGGTCAATTTCTATTGGAGAATCTACTCTCTGGTAGAAGAAAGGCCTTGTCCTCACTGAGCCCAAAGTGGCCATGAGCAGAGAAAGGTAGGCACAACTATGTGGGAGGCAGGATGGCTGGAAGAATCATGCATCCTTGCTCTTCCCCCTACCCTGTTCAGATTCTCAGATGAAAGAGGCAGTTAGGTAGGAGAGAGGACATTGTGAACATTCAGTGTCATGCCCACCCAGTGACCTCATGGATCATGTCAGTCTCAGTCACCTGTAACTGGTGGGTCACCAGGACAATGGTCTTCCCCCGCAGCATCTTCTTAATGCACTCTTCAAAGACATGCTTCCCCACATGGGCATCCACAGCCGACAGAGGGTCATCCAGCAGATAGATCTCATGGTTTGAGTAGACAGCACGGGCCAGGTTGATCCTCTGCCTCTGCCCCCCAGAGAGGTTGAGGCCCCGCTCCCCAATCTGTAGGTGAAGACAATGGACTGCCCACCATTAGGTCCCACACACCACCTGGCAGTTCTTAGAGAACAGAAGCTTCTCAGAAACAGGAGAAAGATATGCAGACCTGTCATCATCATCATGCTCAAGCTTTTTCATCCCTTACAGGGGTCCCTTGGCCACATTAGAAACTCTGGTAAGTGGAAGAACTCTACTTCTTCAGGAGGCCTGGTGAGCAGCACCAACTACAGGAAATCCCTTGTTCACACTGAGCAAGATGTACCTGCCCCATCATACCCCTTCATATGTGCATCCCATGAGTAGGAGCTAAATCTTGATCATTAACACCAAAGGGCATCATTTGAGCAGAAAGTTCTGGGGAAATGTTCAATTGAACAGGAAGGAGAAGAGGCTGAGAGCAGATGGAAAGATGCCTCTATATTTGCTCAACTGGTCAACTATCCTCCACTAGGCAACCGTAAGTTCTATGTAGACAGAAAGCATGTCAGTCTTGTTTCTCATTCTTCCCTCTCCAACTGAACCCAAAGGGAACATCCATTATATTCAACCTGGCATTAAGCTGGGCCCAGGGGCACGGCACTTGAAGCTGAACAAGAAAAGTCTCTTATTTACTGGGTGCACATTTTGTGGGGAAGTTTACACATATAATAATGGGACAAAGCACATAAGAAGTATAAATCAAGTACTTTGCAACAAATCACTTCAGACTGTAGGACTCAATAAAGTCTTCCTCAAGAAGGTGGATTTGGAGTTGGAACTTGAAGGGTGGTGACAATAGCAGGAGGAGAGGCAGAAGGGCTGGAAGGTGGGTGTAACTTTTGACTGGTAAGTAGAGGGTAGGTGATGGACAGAAGCAAAACCTGGAAGAATAGGTCTGGGCTGCAGTGGGAGAGGCCTTGAATGCCAGGCCAAGAAGGCTGAGGGCACTAGTGGAGAAAGACAATATTCTCTCAGCTGATGTTCCTTCAGAAAGTTCTAGTTTTCTGATCTCCTCTGGATCTGGGAAAAGGGTGGAAGACTGCAGAGGAAAGAACTGGGAAGGGGAGACAGGAGGATGGCAAGATGACACCCTTCATCACTTGAATGGCAGGTCCAACCCAGGCCTCTGAGGCAGCTCTTTAGACAAGCACCCCAGGGGGCAATGTTTACAGGTGACCTTTGCACTCCTGGGCTGAGCAGAGCCAGTGAGACAAGAAGAGGCATTTGAGATTCCAGCCACCATGCAGTAGCCCCAGGTACTGGTCTTTAGAGAACAAAGCTACCTCTCAAGTGAGGAAGCAGCTCTCATGGGGAACCTTTCCTGAGATGACCAGGCAGGTTGCCATGGCCCCAGGAAAAGGTCCCACTGAAACAAACATAAATGAGGGTCTGTGCCCATCCATTGTGATAGCCATCAAGTATAGACTCAGATGGAGAATTCAGAGTGGGCAGTACCCTAATTTTCTCCACGCTTCCTGAGCGCTTTCTGTTCTCTGGGGCAGTTGGATGTGAAGCAGAGGTCTGTTGAACCTCGGTCATGTGGACTTTGGCAATGGGCTGCCCTGCAGCAATAGTGGGAGCGAGCTCCCAATTCTGCTCACCTCTGTCAGGTCTCCATAAGGGAGGCTGCTCAGGTCTTTCTGGAGGCCACAGACACGGATTGTGTGCTGATACCTGTGGGCACAAATGTCTCAAGTGAGCACAGTGAGAAAGACCACACAATCACCACTTTATACCAACTGTAGGACTAGAGAACATAGTGGTAAGGACAAAGGCTTTGGAATCACAGCAATCTGGATTTGAATCCACATCTGGATGACAAGCACCCGTGTCTCCCTGGACCTCACTCTCCACTCCAAAAAATCAGGATAATAACTCTCACTGAGTTGTGAGAATTAAATGAGGAAATATATGGAAAGCCTTCAGCACAATGTCTGGTGCATTGCAAATTCTCCTTCAGTGGTGAAAAAAAAAAAAAACCTCACTGCCATCAAGTTGATTCTGACTCATAGTGACCCCCATTGGGTTTCTGAGGCTGTAAGTCTTTACAGAAGTAGATTGCCCCATCTTCCTTCTAAGGAACCAGCTGGTGAGTTTGAACTGCTGACCTTCTGGTTAGCAGCCAAATGCCTTACACACTATGCCACTAGAGCTCCTTCCAACGATGGTAATTATAATTATTACCTTTGACAATCTTCCAAAGACAAGACTCAGACCACTCAACACTTCTTCCTCACCATGCCACCCTCAGTCTTAAGCTGCCTCCCACCCTCCTCCTTCCTGTGACCCCAAGAGTCACAATTTGTACCTTCAGAGTAAAACCTTTGGTAGAGTTGCCACCTAGGAAGAGTGCAGGACCCACCCTTCAAGGCTGAATTAAAATGCCACCCCCTGCAGGGACACTTCTTCCCTGACTCCCCCAACCCCACCTTCTGGTGATCTCTGCTACCTCTAAACGGTCCCAGCATAGGCTCCCATCCCTTGGCCTATTCTTCCTTGGTATGTTGTCAATTTTGTGCATCTCTTACATCCCCTTCTAGCCTTGAGCACCTTGAGGGCAAAGGTACATTTGAGCTATCCCTGTGCCCCCCCCAGTGTGCCCTGTATTTTGCAGTTATTTGATAAAGAGTTGCTCTCCTATATCTTAATTGATTAGTAAAAAAAACTACCCCGTCCCTTCTACTCTGCTGCCATGAGAAGAGAAGGCATTCCAGGTGGGGGTTAGAGATTGTTGTTGGTTGGGTGCTGTGGTGTAGTAAATTACTTAGTGTGGCTTTTCTACCCATAAGTCTTTGTAAACTCCAAGGTGGGATTTGCTATGAGCAACTGAGGAGCTCCTGATTGCTAAAGTTGTCCACCTGGAGCATTTCTGTTGGGAGCGGCACAAAACAATGTTCTGGGAGGGTCCCACTCTCTCTCAGATGCTTAGAGTTCTGATGCTATGATTGGCTAGTTTAACCACCCTGCCAGGGTCAAAAGGAGGCCTCCTAGAGGCAGAACTCTCTCTGACTGCTGGTTGAGGAAGACGTGCTGCTGAAAGAGACACGCACTCCTGAGACACGCGTTGCTGGGAAAGAGATGCAAGAGACACGCATTGCTGAGTGAGACACTGAGGGACACGCACTGCTGGGAGAGAGACTGTGAGAGACTGTTGGCTGAGGGACGGTGGGCTGGGAGAGAGACTGAGCCTTCTTCCTGAACTTGAATTGTAGCCTGGTGCTTCCCTCATAAACCCCATAATCTGAGAGTTCTGTGTGGCCACTGCAGTGAATTATCAAACCCAGGAGAGAGGTGGTGGGTGCTTTTGGAAGAACGGTTGGTGAAAGAGCTGGAGGGAGGCAGCATGTCTGGCCTCATAGCAATAGCCCTTGGATTATTGATGGTGATTCTGTCTTCCTCTTGTGGGATTAGAGGAGGTCGGAACATGTGGCCTCCTTGCCGTTTTTGCAGGTGCCATGAAGTTGGATCCAACTCTCAGCAACCTTATGTATGACAGAATGAAATGTTGCTCAATCCTGGGTCATCCTCACAATTGTTGCTATATTTGAGCCCATTATTACAGACACTGAGTCAATGCATCTCACTGATGCATTGAAGTCAGTGCACCTCTCTGGGCCTTAGCCAGTGAGATGCATTGAAGTCAGTGCACCTCTCTGGGCCTTAGCCATTTCATCTGTACATCTCTCCTCTTTTCTGCTGACCCTCTACTTTACCAAGCATGATGTCCTTCTCCAGTGATTGGTCTCTCTTGAGGACATATCCAAAGTGAGTGAGACTAAGTTTGTCCACCCTTACTTCTATGGAGCATTCTAGCTGTATTTCCTTCAGGACAGATTTGTTCATTCTTCTGGTGGCACAGCCAAAGATAGGACAGGAAACGCCGAGCAGAGTAGTCTGGCCAGTGCCAAGGACTCCTGCATCCATCAACCTTTCCTGCCACACCTGAGCCTCCTGGTGACAAGATGTCAGAGCCATAGAAGAAGAGGAGAAGGAATAGACCTCTTTACTGCTGAGAACCCACATGCTGGCTGACACCGGCCAGCTAGGGCAGAGCTTGTGGGTTCAAATATTGAGGTGTGAAAGTCCAAACCAGATGTTGAGAATTGACAGCCAGATTCTTAAGACCAACTGCATTTTTCTTTACTTCAGCTTTGTGGTGCTTGGAGAGGTGGCCCAACTGTCAGGCAGCTTCACCAAGAACAAATGATGCTGATCTGGAGTTCAAGATGTACACCAAGATTTGGCTCTGCCATTTAATAGCTTTGACCTTGAGTAAGTCAATGCACCTCTCTGGCCCTTAGCCATTTCATCTGTACAATGGATAGCCTTAAACAGGGAGTTATGGGACTCAAATGAAAGAATGTACATGCAAGCCCACCAAACTTGGCAAAAAACCATTAGAAATGAATCCTACGTAATACTTTCCAGAAATTAACAGATAATGGACAAAAGTGTATCAAATAATTATGATTGGAATGTTGTTTTTATTTCATTAAATAATTTTGAGGACACTAAGGGCAATACGTCCTGCAGCCCTGATGTCAATTAATAATGTCAGGGTTAATGAATTGCATACCTGCTGCTCACGATTTCAAGCAGTTTGGCTACTCAGTCTAAAGCAAAAGTGTTGAGTTCCTTTTTCTCCATCAGACAACACATGTGTTGTTACAGAGAACCTCAGAACATATGCTACTTTGCACTGGGAATAAAGTGCCGATTCTACAGTGTGTGGTCATGGGTGTGCAGATGATGCCTCTTCTGAACTCCTGGGTCAGAGAGAGAAAAACCAACACCCATTTGGGTCTGATGAATGTTTAATTAGAACTCATTAGAGAAACTCACTTAGGCATCATTACCAATGGCAGCGGCATCTGTAGCACAGCGTACCAAGTACCAAAGTGCTCGTGCTTTCAAAGTTAATATTACCTTTGATGATCATACTTTTCTCCAAATAATATGTTTTCTCTCACATTTCCATGGAAGATCCATGCTTGCTGGGAAACGTAGGCCAAAGTTCCATTGACTGCCACAACTCCTTCCTGTAACTGCATCTGAAGCAACGATACCAGAGAATTTTCAGAAGCCAAACCTCACGGAGTTCTCCTTAGGTGTCTACTGTACCCTTACCACTAACTAATTATGAAGGTGCAAGAGGGTGACAAGATGTCATAATGCAAAGACCAAACATGCAAATTGAGGGTCTCAAAGTCAAACAAGGGGCCAGACAAGGAACCGTAAATGAGGACAGGGAACAGGGTGCTCTAGAAAAGGAGTGGTATTTCTTTGCAAACTGGAGAATTCTAGCCACAGGACGGCTGCTAACATACTTAGACCTTTGTGCCAACTAGAACAAGACGTCCCTCCGAGTGAATCAATCACAAGGCTCCCTTTCTTCCCAGTACATTGGCTGGATGCAAGCCCCTTAACTTTTCTCAGCCAGCCTTGACTTTGTTGCGCAGTTAGTGCCTTGCAAGGAAGCAAGATGTGGTCAGAGTTTCTCATTTTTTAAGAGGAGCTGAAAATCCAGCTTCAAGTGAAATTTTTTTCACTTTCAAAACACTGAGCAGTCCAATTGAAAATCATGTATGACCCATATGAAGATCCCTGGGTGGCACCAATGGTGTGCACTCAACTACTAACCTAAAGATTGGCGGTTTGAACCAACTCAGCAGCACCGTGGAATAAAGGCCTGGAGATCTGCTTTCATAAAGACTAAAGCCAAGAAAACCCTATGGGGCAGTTCTGCTCTGTAAAACGAGTTCACCAGCCATCAGAATCAACCAGACAACTACAGGTTTTGAGTTTATGACCCATATGATCCAGCAATTCTACCCAAAAGAATTAAAAGCAGAAATGAGAACAGATAACTCATATATCCATGTTCATTACAGCACTAGTCACAATAGCCAACAGATGAAATCAGCCTAAAAGTCCATCAACAGATGAATAGATCAAGAAAATGTGGTACAAAATGTCCATCAACAGATGCATAGATCAACAAAATGTGGTACAGACATACAATGGAGTATAACTCAGCCATAAAAAGTGAAATGCTGATACAGGCTGCAACATGGATGAACCTGGAAAACATCATGCTGAGTGAAATCAGTCAGTCACAAAAGAACAATATGAAATAAATTCCACTTATATGAAATAACTATAGTAGGCAAGTATATGGAGATCAAAGTTTATTAGTGGTTGCCAAGGGCAGGAAGAAGGGAGAGAGAAAGGAGGACTCAGTACTTAGAGGCACACTGAGCTTCAGTTCAGGATGACAGAAAAATTAAGGAATGGCGATAGCTGAACAACACGATGGACATATTTAACATCACTGAACTGTACATGTGAAGACTGTCACCACAAATGTTTTGTTACCTATATATTTATCACAATTCAAAAAATGCATGGATTCCAGTTTGTGACTCTGATAAATGAATTCATGTAAGATGGTCCCACACAGCGGGTATGTTATAGACAGTGGTAGACATTAGTGATGATGTAATATTAAAAGCTATCAAGAGGGGTCATGTGAGGCTGTCCATGGCTTTCAGAGCTGCTGCTCATTGGTCAGCAGCAGTGTGTCTGGGGGCAGGGAAGAAAGGCAATGAAGATGGTCAAGGGATGTGGTGCCCTTTCACCTCAGGAGCCACCCAAGGGACAGAGACTATTAGACTTGTGGAAGAGATTGTGATGGTAATAATAATAGTGAAAATATTAAAAATAGTTAAAATGTGCAGGGGACATGCCAGTTACTCTGAGAAGTACATATAATTATGATTGGCATGGGAGATTATCCAATTACTAACTATTGTCTCATTCAGTCCTCACCACAACCCTCTTCAACCTAATTTTGTAGATGAGGAAGCCAAGGCTCAGAGAGGTTAACTTACTTGTCCAAGGTTAAACAGTGAACATGGCTGAGACAGGTGGTGAGACTAGGCTGTCCAGAGCCCACTAGCTTAACCACCATGATACCCTGCCTCCCAGTGACAGTGACAGGCCAGATTGCACCCCTGTCCCATGGGAGACGGACTCTATTTTCTCTGCAGATCAAAAGGTAGACACTAAAAGAAGACAAGTTTTACTCCAGTATACTCTCCACCAAGGGAACTGGCTGTAAGATAATAAAGTTCTCATCCCTAGAGATATCTGATAAGAGATTAGACAATGTCTTATAGAGCATGCTACTGAGAAGATTCCTGTCATTACGTAGAGAATTGGGCTGGGTCGCTCTAACATGCCTGCCTACTCTAAGGTTATCATAGAGCCACACACTCAATTTCTCAGAAGCTCACCTGATTCAGCCCCCACATCCACCTTCAGGCAGGGAAGGCAGATGAGTCAACTGAAGCCAGTAGAAGTCACCCATATTGGAGCTCACAAGACACACCCACCATGTGACCTAGTGGGGCTCCCCTGAGTCTTGTGTCCCTTGTGTCTGCAGAGGCACCCCAACCTTTCCCTTTTATAGGCAAAGGCAATCCCAGGCAGCCAGCCTTCTTTTAGGAACAGCAGAGTGGGGAGGAAAAGGACTTAATAATTTTCTGGGAAAATTTCTCATTAATTTGGAATGCAAGGTAGAAACCATCATGACTTATAGGCCTATGCATATAGTATATGGTACGGCCTTTTGCCCAGGGTCACACAACTAGTAGTAGAGAAGGAACGAGAATCCAGGGTTCCTCCCTCTTCCCATCACAAGGGTGGCAGAGAAGTTGGGACACATTGCTGCCTTCAATACTATATTCATGCAGCCATTGCTCATTAAGGCAGACTTTACTGAGCTTCTGCTCTGGGCAGACACTGGGAGAGGTACTGAGATATGGAGATAAATGAGGTAAAAACACAACTAAAGTTATTGTGGGTCTCTGGCCCTTGGGTCCTACTTCAGCAAGCTGCCTTGCTGGACTCTCTAAATCAGGAAAGTCCTTGCTACGGGGGAAACCGTGGATTTGATGACCTGACTCTTCCTTTGACCAAGATGGAGTTCTAGGCAAGAAAGTAATCACCATTTAACACATATCCTGGGGAGGCAAACTCAAGAGTGTAAAAAGCTCCATCTCCATGTGGCTGAGGTTATGGAGCTGCGAGGCATATCATCCTCCTGGAAATCATCATCAACTATGTGTACTGTGTCCAGTGCAGCCAAGCCCATCTGTGTGTTCAAATGAGTGCCCCAAACGTGGTTGGAAGGGAATCATTTCATTGCCATGCTAATTGTTAGTCTTCGCAACATTCGGACTGGTACAATCAGTTAAGCATTTAGCTGCTAATCAAAATGCTGGAGGTTCACGTCCACTGAGATGCATCTTGGAAGAAAGGACTGATGATGTAATCCTAAAAACTCAGCTACAGAAACACCTTGTTGTTGTTGTTGTTGTTTGCCGTCGAGTCAGCCCCGACTCATAGCGACCCCTCCTTGGGTTTCCGAGGCAGTATCACTATGGAAGTAGGATTGCCCAACCTTCCTTCCGAGGAGTGGCTGGTGGGTTTGAACCGCCAGCCTTCTCGTGATCAGTCAAGTGCCTTAGGCACTATGCTACCAGAGCTCCTACAGAAACACCTACAGAGCATAATTCTCTGACACACACGGGGTCACCATGAGTCAGAATCACCTTGATAGCAACTGGTTGGGTTTGCTTGTTTTATTTATTAGGTTTTTCCATAGCACTCACCATAGAGCTTACCTGTCCTAGGAGAGCTGCAATGAGGGAGCTCTTTCCACTTCCAACATTTCCACATATTCCCAAGACTTTCCCCTGCCAGAGAAACAGAGGTAAGACACAGTCATTACTCCAGTTCCGCTCTGGTCAGGCCAAGTGGGGACCAAAGCGTCATTACTGGCTCTGTGAGGTGGCAGCTGCAGCCTCACAGCCCCCGCTGACACATACAGCCTGGGAGGATGCAGGAATGTTAGTCTTAATTAACTGCTTTTCCTTGCGCAGCATAGCAGAGCACCTGAGGGGCTTCTAGAAACCATGTACAAGCACTGATGCGAAACACAGCTTGTGCTGGACTGGGAGACACAGTCCTTGAATGTAGGGGTTGTCCTGTGCCTAGACTCCAGCAAAACAAATCTAATTGAAGGTAAAAGCCTGAACAACCCAGGGGAACACGGGCAGGCTTGAAGTATGGCTATTTTCTAGAAGTCATTCTTTGTGTGTGCCTCCACCATAATAACTGAATTGTAAATTACCAACCAAGTAAGCTACTCCAACCTATTGGGTTGTTAAATTACTCCACAGTTGCAGATTCCTTGTTTCAATCAACAAACTGTTATTAGAGCCTGCTATGTGCCAGGCATTGTTCTGGGCACCTGGATATAGTAATAAAAACAACAAACTAATGTCTGGGTTTGCCTTCACAGAGCTTACATTTAAGTTGGAACATACAGACAGTAAAAAAGATAAGTAAGTAAAATATAGAGTATGTCAGATGCATGCCATGGCAAAAATAAAGCAAGGAGGGAAGGAGGGAAGGGGACAGAGGAAATCTGGCTGCAAAGTTAGATGCCTTAGCTTGAGTGTTCCCAGAAGCAGACCCTTAAATAAGGAACTGAGTTATTGTTGTTACTGTTAGGTGCCCCTGAGTCAGCTCTGACTCATAGCTACCCTACGTACAATAGAACAAAACACTGCCTGGTCCTGTGCCAGCCTCACAGTCCTTGCTGTAACTGAGCCCATCATTGGAGCCATTGTGTCAATCCACCTCATGGAGGGCCTTCCCCTTTTCCACTGACACTCCACTTTATCGAGCATGATATCCTTCTCCAGGGAATGGTCTCTTCTGACAACAAGACCGAAGTAGGTAAGATGAAGTTTGGCCATTCTTGCTTCCAAGGAGCATTCCGGCTGCACTTCTTCCAGGACAGATTTGTAAGTTCTTCTGGCAGTCTGTGGTACTTTCAGTATTCTTTGCCAACACCACAACCCAAAATCATCAACTCTTCTTCGGTCTTCTGTATTCCTTGTCCAACTTTCACATGCATATGAGGTGATTAAAAATTCCATGGCTTGGGTTAGACACAACTTAGTCTTCAAAGAGACATCTTTGCTCTTCAGCACTTTAAAGAGTTTTTTTTGCAGCAGATTTGCCAGTCCAATATGACGTCTGATTTCTTGACTGCTGCTTCCACTTGTGTTGATTATGGAACCAAGTAATATGAAATCTTTGAAAACTTTAATCTTTTCTCTGTTTATCATGATGTTGCTTATTGGTCCAGTTGTGAGGTTTTCATTTTCTTTGTGCAGAGGTGTAATCCATATTGCAGACTGTAGTCATTAATCTTCATCAGTAAGTGCTTCAAGTCATCTTCACTTTCAGCAAGCAAGGTTGTGTCATCTGCATATTGCAGGTTGTTAATGAGTCTTCCTGCAATCCTGATGCCATGTTCTTCTTCATACAGTCCAGCTCCTCTGATTATTTGCTGAGCATACAGATTGAATAAGTATGGTGAAAGGACATAGCCCTGATGCACACACTCCCTAATTTTAAGCCATGCAATTGCCCTTTATTCTGTTCAAATGTCAGTCTCTTGGTCTATATACAGATTCCTCATGAGCACAATTAAATTTTCTAGAACTCCCATTCTTCTCAATGTTATCCATAATTTGCTATGATCCACACAGTAGAATGCTTTTGCATAGTCAATAAAACACAAGTAAATATCTTTTGGGATTCTTTGCATTCAGCCAAGATACACCTGACATCAGCAATGATGTCCCTCATTCCACATTTCATTCTAAATCTAGCTTGCATTTCTGGAAGTTTTCTGTCAATATACTGCTGCAACCGTTTTTGAATTATCTTCAGCAAACTTCTTGGTAGATAAGTAAGTGCCTCCAGTAGAGCATCCGTTTGTTGAAACATCTCAATAGGCATCCGTTTGTTGAAACATCTCAAACATCCTGGAGCCTTGTTTTTCTCTAATTCCTTCAGTGCAACTTTGACTTCTTACTGCAATACCGTTGGTTCCTGATCATATGCCACCTCCTGAAATAGATGAACTTCGACCAATTCTTTTTGGTACAGTGACTCTGTGTCTTCCTTCCATCTTCTTTTGATGTTTCCTACATCATTCAATATATTGCCCATAGAATCTTTCAATATTGCAACTTGAGGCTTGAATTTTTTTTCAGTTCTTTCAGCTTGAGAAATACTGAGTGTGTTTTTCCCTTTTGGTTTTCTAATTCCAGGTCTTTGCACATTTCATTATAATAATTGACTTTGTCTTCTCAAGCTGCTCTTTGAAATCTTCTGTTCAGCTCTCTTATCTAGTCATTTTTCCATTTGCTTTAGCTACTCTCCATTCAAGAGCAAGTTTCAGAGTCTCTTCTGACATCCACTTTGGTCTCTTCTTCCTTCCCTATCTTTTTAATGACCTCATCTTTGCTCTCTTCATGTATGCTATTGTTGATGTCATCCCACAATTCTTCTGTTTTTCAGTCATTGGTGTTCAATGCATCAAATCTATTTTTCAGATGGTCTCTAAATTCAGGTGGTATATAATCAAGGTCATATTTTAGTTCTTGTGAACTTGTTTTAATTGTCTTCAGCTTCAACTTGAACTTACATAGGAGCAGTTGATGATCTGTTCCACAGTCAGCTCCTGGCCTTGTTTTGGCTGAAGATATTGAACTTCTCCATCACCTCATTCCACAGATGTAGTCGATCTGATTCTTGAGTATTCCATTTGGTGAAGTCCTCGTGTGTAGCCATCATTTATGTTGTTGAAAAAAGGTATTTACAATGAATAAGTCATTGGTCTTGCAAAATTCTATCATGTGATCCCAGGCATTATTTCTATCACCAAAACCATATTTTCCAACTACAAGTGATTCTTTTTGTTTCCAACTTTTGCATTCCAATCACCAATAATAATCAATACATCTTGATTGCACATTTGGTCAACTTCAAACTGCAAAAGTTGGTAAATATCTTCCATTTCCTCTTCTTTGGCTTTGGTGGTTGGTATATAAATTTGAATAACAGCAGTATTAACTGGTCTTCCTTGTAACCAAACCAAACTCATTGCCATTGAGTTATTTCTGACTCCTAGCAACCCCTCCTTGGGTTTCCAAAGCTGTATCTCTATGGATACAGAGCAGTCAGCCCCAGGGTTACAGGTGAGGAGAGACAACGCAGGGACGCCAGAGTAGCAGGCCAGAAGAGCAGGAGAAAGGGTATAAAAGCCTTGAACCCGGACAGAAGAGCAGTCAGCCCCAGGGATACAGGTGAGGAGAGACAACTCAGGGATGCCCAAAGAAGCAGGCCAGAAGAGCAGGAGAAAGGGGATTAAAAGCCAGGAAGCCAGACAGAGGAACAGTCAGCCAGGTGGGGGTGATACAAG